CGGTTATCTAAATCAGACAAAAATACAGGTGCGGGCGGTTGGCGGGTGGATAATTTATTTGAAGCTGCGGATTCGGGTGACGTTTTAGCTCATCCGCGCATCACTAATATATATATATTTTTGCCCATTCACCCTGGAAGCCGATTGCCTACAATGTGCCACTTTGATGTCTCTTGTATCACTTCACACTCTCTTTTGATATCTCGTGTGATAAAAGGGCTCAAATCAATATGTAATGTCCATTCATTTACTTTTGATATTTAGTAAGTACATTTGTTATAAACCGGATTATTCGCACTCATTCAGCCATTACTACAAAATAAACTCCTTCTGGGTGATACAAAATGCTTCAGCTTCACATAGGGGGCAATTTGACATTGCTTTTCTCAGTATCTCTCCACTCATCTGTTTGGAAATTTTCAGTAGTCTAATGCACCGCTGTGAGCCTGCAGCTATGTTCTCTACACGGTATTTGTTCCCAGCTAAGCGTTATAAATATTTGAGTGCTAATATGAGCTTCTCTCATACAGAGCGTCATAAAGGAGAATAAGGTCTGAATGACCATCAGCGTTCTCTAGTACCTGAACCCTGAGTTCAGAGTGATGCCATTAGTGGAAGTGCTTCTGTCTGATAGATGGTTTCAGATGAAATGAACGCTTTCAATTGTACAGAGGAACATCACTAAGCAGTCAGTCAATTAATCTATAGCAATGTTTCTATTAACAGCATTTAGATTTTCACAAGCCTGGGCTGCCTAAATATAGATTCTAACTAGATTAAAAAAGGCCTGGGATCCTAAGCAACCCTCTACGGACACCTTGGCAATTGAATAGTAGCCCGTCAATCCTCTCTCTCTCTCTCTCTCTCTGCGTGTGTGTGAGTCAAAGTGACGGCAAGGTATGCGCCTTCACACTAGAATTTACGGTAATATTACGTTAAATACAGGTGCGCTGTGCATCCATTCAGATGAACTGAAAAACAGCTGCTAAACTTATACTTGGCCTCCAACTCACACAATGGCGAGTAAAATCTGAGAATTTATTAGCCATTGGCTAATATTAGACATCATTTAGTCGCCAGAGTGAAGATTTAGTCGCATATGCGAGTGATTTACTCGCAATGTAGAGGGTTGCTAAGATAGCACCCAACCCTTGTTAGTGGTGTTAGATAACATAAGCATCACTATTACTATTGAGTTACAGAAAACTTAGTGTTGAACTGTGGCACGTAATGTTTGTTCTGCATATGTGAACACTATCTCAAATCGTGTACAATTACTTTTCTAAACAATCTGACCAGCAGTTTTCACCTTGTTGATGATACAATGGTTAAGAATCACTAAAAAAGTATCGTTCACTTTTGATGCGAACATAGAACATCGATGCGAACATAGAACAGTGTGCCTACATAGGAATTATGTAGCCTTTCAAAATATACTTAATATATAGCAAGCGCTAACACAGGTGACTATGCACACTAGAAAGTTTCATTATTGTCTGGTGTCTGTGCTATTAGAAGTTATGAGCAATTAAAAAAAATTATTTATACTCATTTAAACCAAAGTCCCTTTAAGACAAATCATTTCACTCGGTGGCCATCTCTGAAATGCCTCTCGGGTGCTCATACAAGTGCAGCTCCTATCTCTTTGAATGGGTAAACATCAAATTCTCCAAAATTGTTTGCCAAGCTTACAATTAAATTTCATATTTGAAATCACCAATGAAATATGACAACAACTGTCTCATAAATGTTGTTTCTTTTGCTCAAATAACGTTAAAAAAGCGTATTATTCAATCTAGACCAGCCAGTGCTTATGCGCAGTCCTAAGCGTGCAACTCAGAATGCTGACTGTTTCTATAGCAAACGGGACTTCTAACGGCAGCTGAAGTGACGCAATAATTTTACAGATTAGCAATTGGCTCATTTACTCAGAAAGCGAGGCTTCCTTCAATGGAGCGGCCATATTGAGCGTTGTATTTTTCCCCATTTAAAACTATACGAGTGACACGTCTTGGGTATTCTAGTCTTTGTTTAAACTAAATATGTTGTGGTCAAAAGTAGTTTATTGTTGTTCCATCTTTTTTGTTTCTTTATCGACTGTGAAACATCGGTCTGGGCCAGTGTTGCCGCATTGTGGATAAACTAATTAGTGCAAAAAAAGTTAAGGCACATGTACAAGCTGAGCAAATATAGAAAAATATGTCTGGGTGTGTACAGTTTATGTACATACTATGCTAATGATTAAATTTATGTTGCACACCGCATGCATACCCTAGTGTACACATTAAAACTGATGTATACATTGGGCTTTTTTTTAAGAGGTCAGAACTACTCAGACCAATGCAGTAACTGCATAACAAAATGTTAACAACTACTTACAACACCTTAGCAACTGCATAGCAAGATGCAAATAACCACTTAGAACACCTTACTGCATAGCAATATGCTAACAACTACTTAGAATACCTTAGCAACTGCATAGCAAGATGCTAACAACTGCCCAGAACACCTTAGCAACTACACAGCAAAATGCTAACAACTACCTAGAACACCTTACTGCATAGCAAGATGCTAACAATTGCCTTGAACACATTAGCAACTGCATAGAAAGGTGTTAACAACTACTCAGAATAGATTAGCAACTGCACTGCAACATGCTAACAGCCACTTAGAACATCTTAGCAACCACAACGTCCTGGCAACCACTCAGAACACCCTATTAACGGCATAGAATGTGCCAACAACCACTGACAACATCTTAGCAATGCTAGCATCGCAACACTCTGAAAACCTCCCACAACACCCTAGCATTGTGATAGTCAGAAAATTGAGACATAAGAATAAAATTGTTCATGCAAAAAATTCTTGCTGAGCTCTCTTGCCAAAGGATTATTTGGAACCTTCTTGCTGATGACCAAATTACACAATGTGTCTATTCAACTGCAACCAACATCTTTGGATCTGTGTCCATCATTACAGACATGCCACGCTGAGAAAAGACTGATTATGATATAACAGCAATCAGTACATCTGCTCCAGAATCAACATTCTGTATGCAAATCTCATTGATCTTCATGCATCAAAAAGAATCGGTCTGTTCAGACAGAAAGATCATATATTTTTGCCCTTTGTTTTCTTATTCGAAGGCTGAATCATTCATTTGTCTGTCATCAGTCTGTTATGAACTCCAATAGGCTATATGTTGACAGGAGTGCTGAAATTATGTGTTAGAAAGACATATCACAGTTAGTCATTTCACAACATCACCTAAAATGTCCTAAGTAACTGAACATTGGGAAAACAAACTGTACAATATAGAAATACACTTTACACCCAGCAGCTTCAGCTGAAGTGCAAGGGTTTGACTAGTACAGTGTCATCCTATGGGCAATAGTTGTAATAGCATTTTTATTGCAATAGTGATTTATTTAAAGGTGCACTATGCAGAATTTTCCAAAATAAATAAATAAATAAAGGATAGACTCATATTATCCCTCTCTATCATAATTTATGATACACTAGAAGCGTGTGTTGGTGTGTCTCAACAGAGACATTGCCCTGTGTCTGTATTTTCTTCTTGTTTTGCTGTGCTCAGGATGTTTCTGGACTGCAACTTTTGGCCAATGGGTTTGTAGCCCCAGGCCAATAACGACATGTGGCACAGGTGAGGGCAGGCCTTTATCATCTGTCTGAAGCTTGCGAAGCTCTGCTAAATTCTCCCGTCTGGACACAAAAACAATTTTTTTCAAGTTGCTATTGGCGGTAGGTCCTGCCTAAAAAGGGGAGGAACTACTACCAAAGCAGAGACTAGACAGAAGTAATTCTACATGTGGGGCACCAAGCTCAGTACAGAGGCTGACCGAAAGGGCATACAAAGCAAGTACTGAGCCTGGCGTCAGGGTCCTCCACCGAGCCTGACAGCTGGAGGGTGCTTGGAGGATGCTCAATCCAGGGTTTGTCAGATGAGGAATATACCTGGAGAGATGAGATGGCGCTCACACCCCCTGT